TTTTGCATGCGGTCCAATTTCAAGGTAGCAAGAGAGGACTTACACTTAATGAAGACAAATGCGAGCACTTGCGCCTGCATTCAACACAGAGAATCTACTATGCTCCACAAACCAGTGCTCAATGCGAATGCAGCTATTGTGGCGGCGTACATCATTCGCTTAATCCTGTGCCCCTTTCAGATGAAGTTAATTTTTTAGGAGTCTACTTGGATCCGTCGAACAGTAATTGCAAGAACACCTCGTATCGCGTCTCTCAGGCAGTCACTGCCTCTAGACTGCTTCGCCCGTTACTATCTCATGCGTCTCTCCCACCCTCTTGGAAACTTACGGTATATCGATCCATTGTACTTACCATATTCATGTATGCAATGGACAGTTGACATCCCCACAAATCCGTAAGCTAGATACCATCCACTACAAATCTCTCCGGCGCATTTTTAAAATCAAGTCATCCTTCTATCACAGAGTTTTAGACGCCTCTGACACCCCGTGCTCGAACCAATACTTGGCCTCTTTGGCTTACGCTAGCCGGCGGATACAAACACCACCCCAGATGTATTCTCAGCAACGCTTACAACTATTTGGTCATATTCATAGGCACCCGGAGACCATTGAAAACAAATGTACATATATGACCTCCCACGCCTATCGCCACATAAGAGCGCCCAACCGCCCTGGGCGCCCAAAAATACATTGGGCAGAATCTTGCATGACGCAGGCAGCACAACGCATAGATCATCTGTTGTCAGATCAGGCCCCTCCTCATGACCATATACACCATGAGTTCTTTGAAATTCCCTCCTCCCAGCAAGTACGCCATGCTCACAGGGCGTCTGGAGTCGTTTGGATGGACAATACCTCCTTATTTCGACAGGTCCATCCCAAGTGCCAGGATCGCAAGTACTGGCAGAAAGTCGTGCACAAGCCAAAAAGGGACCATGGACGCTAATTTAAGCCACTCGTAAGTGAAATAGGATAGGTCGGTGCTGATGGGCTCGAACAGAGAGCCTTGCGCGTTCGAAAAAAAATCCTGCGCTGTGATGCCAATGATGTGTGTCTTGAGCGGCTGCGTGGGTTATCGATATTTCTGATGTGATGAAACGGGGTGATGTGACTGCAAAATAGGCACGAATGCCCGTGCCACGCGCCCCTTCCATTCATGTCGTTACATGTGTTGAAACCCGCCTCCGGGCGGCGTGCACATGGGGTTTCGCTTTTTCTGATGTGGCGCCTTTGGAGGAGAAGTCTCTGACATGATTTTTCGCAGAGTTCGTATTCGGGGGATTGTAATAGGTCTCCGCTGCTATACTGCTATACTGCCATACTGATGCTGTACTGCTATGGCTTCTACTACTTCCACACTGCTTTCCGGGAACTCAAACTATGGTAAAACGACGGGGGTTCGTCAGGCTGTGACCCAAACGTTCAAGCGATTGGGAGAGCCCTCAAACACCCCTAGTTGCGCGACTTAACCCTGATGATCGAATTTTGGACTGTCGTTCGTTTGGGATCTCGGGAACGTCGTTGGAAGAATTTGTTTTTGTTAGCACTCCTCTTTACGTCCTGGTGAATCCTCAACATAGGTGCACCGGGTGCCGCGGGCCTGACTTGTCCTCCAAAATTTCCCACATGCCCCATGCCCGAAAACGAAAGAAAGGGTGTTTCCCTTTCCATGACAAGACAAAAAGAAAGATTTGTTCTGCGTACAGAGAGACGTTTGCCCTATGTGCCCGTCGAAAGCAGAGAGCTCTGATTTTCCAGTCGGAAGGCAGAATGTAGGTTGGGGGCTATCACGCTTGCTGTTACCCCACGACGTGGAGCGGGGTCCCACAGGGACACAATGCCTGCCCTTGCCAACAGTTTGAAGAGGGGGCAGCCACGTGGCCTTGTGTGGTCCGCTAAATCGGAACCACATGCCATCATCCACGAGCTACGCTTGGGCAATGAAGCTATAGCTTCAGTCGTCCCGCCAGCAGAGCAAGCCTTCCCCCCATCACAGGCCATGTTCGACTACGATGACTTGGACATGGCCGAGGATGTTAAGCAGGCAGTTGAAATGGAGAGCAGTGGCAGGAAACCAGTTGGACAAGCCTGTAAGTGCTTCACACTGTTACGATGCAGGTCGCGATGACCGCGCCGGCACAGGAAAGCCTCAGGCGCACACTTTCCGTGCATGAAGCAAGCTGCCGACCGATTTTGGGCGCATCCTTTGCGCCATATGGTGGGGAGTGCAGGTCGTTGGTGGCAGACATGAGTTCCCGGGTGGACAGCATCAAGGCGCGAGTGGACCAGAAGGAGCCGGTGATGGGATTGCGAGGGCTAACTCCGATGAGACTCGGACTCGCAGGACCGAGATCGAGTTGAAGCTCCGAATCGCCGCAGGAAGGAGGGCCGGCACTGGTAAGTTGGCACACAGCACACGTGCAAATCGCTATGCAGAGGGCTTCCGCCTTAACACAGCACACTTGTTCCACAGGCAACCGATGCTGTTTCCACGGCTTCGCAAAGAGCTCATTTCCTGTGTGCTGCATGTCTGTAGATCTCACTTCAACTTGGACGGCATGCTCCGCTTGGTATTGCGTCTTCGTTGTTATTTGTGAGGCTGTCATTTGCAGAGTTCCTTGGCATCACGCAGTCCCAATCCAACCAGGAAGAGAGCTCTTCCAGGCTGGGTTTTTGGGCTTGGATGCCAGAGCCGACGTGCAGGCTGGTTTTGCTCGTTCGCTCTACGCAGGGGCCTTCGAGTTGCTCGCTCTCGCCCATCCGGCAAGGCACAATATCGCTCGGAAGGTTTCACTGTACAAGGCTATGAGCTGTTGGATGTAGAAAATGTAGACTGTGGGTGAATCGTGCGATGTCGGCCGAGACTTCACCCGGTCCGGAGGCTCGAGTGAGGGTCTCGGCAAGAGGAAAGGGGGGGCGGAGAGACCCCGAGTTACACGCACAAGGATGGAGGAAGCCGCCGTGCAGCAGTGATCCGCTCACAATCGAGAAACCTATAGGCGACCGGCGACAGCGGGAATGAATGGCCAGCATTGCTGCGCCAAGGAGGAACGAGTGCAACGTAGCGAAGAGACACTACACGTTTCTTTACATCCCCTTGTTGCCGTGCAGAACGAGGACGCAAAAAACCAGTGTGCAACTGCGCACGACCCCGAGAGTTTAGACTGTAGACTGGCGAGGCTGTCTGTATGTATGGCAGCTGCATGGGAGAGCTGTCTGAGAGCATCCTCAGGGCTTGTCCCTTGCGCTGTGTGTTGACTGACTTTTGGATAAGTGCCGATGAGCTTCAACCTTTAGTGAGTGCCAGTGGGGCATGACTGCCCGAGAAATTCCGTTGAAGGAGCAGCAGATGGTGGACTGCGATGAGTACTTGGTCGTCTTGACGGGGGAGTTTCGGTGTCTAGGCTTGTTAAGGAACTTGTAGCATCTGCACCTCGTACTAAGATTCTGCAAACATGCCTGATGCGCTCGTTTCACATTCCAACCCAGCTGTGCTTTGAGGTTGGAGAAGGGAGACGAGAACATCATGCTCCGTGAAGGTGATGGCATTTTCCTTGAGGCAGAGCTAGTCAGCCTTCTATGCTTCAGCTCCTGATTCCAGAACAGAGATGCTGAACACCTGATGGCCGTTTTCACAAAGAGAAGCTAGCCAATCGACTGGGCGAGTTATGAGGGAAGGATGAGCTGAATCAGCAGGCGGGCGAGAGAGTCGTTTGGACCTGGGCGCTGACCTTATGACTGACAGATAGATTGGGCTGGTTTCTTGCTTGGGACGCAACAAGATTGCTTTTCCTTGGCTTATTCTCAGGACCGCACCGTGCAGTTCATCACCATCACGCTCCCCGAGCGTACCAGACAACCAAGGACGACAGAGACTGGTGCGCACTCCAGTTGCCGCTGGCTTTGTGCATGTTCTGCTGCAGTACTGTAGTAAATGCATGCTATGTTGTGTTTCGATGAAGCTTGTTGAGAGTGAGCAGTAGAATTGATGCTTGCCTAGTACTGGGCCTAAGGCATCCAAACAGAGCCCAGCAAGGCCTGTCTGGTCCCCAGAGTGCAAAGAATCGATTTGTGGGAGATGCACGGGCGCGATCTCTTGAGATGTCATCTTTCCGAGCCTTTGGGCTTCTCGGACTTGGTATCCAGGTCCACCTCTTACAAGACTTGTCTCGCAAAGGTGGTGAGAAGTTCTGGGCAGAAGCTAGCGAAAGAGGCCGGTAGGGGGCAGCAGCGGCGGCAAGTCGTCGTTGGCGTTTGAGGTGTGGTGTTCTGCTTTGCCACGTGTGGTGCTGTCGAGAATGCACACCGGTTCAAATGATATACCCAGGGCAAGCCAGGAATCAGAGAATGGCATATTTAGCTTCATTGTTGTTCTGACCGTCGTTTTGACTCCATGACTGTCGTGAAACCTTTCACACAGCAAGGTGAAGACTTCACAGTCTCGAGCGGCTGTAGTTGTTTAGGAGAGATGCCCGTGGTGCTGTTCCGTCAAGCTGTCGTGCTCCAAGCCAGTCCAAGCATGAGTCTGCAGGCTTGGCGAGGCGAAGGGCCCTCAGATTCATACTTGGAGCTATGTGAATTTCCAGGACAGGCTCTGGTGACTCGATCAGACCAAGGAGAGCCTGTGGGATTGCTCAAGAGCCGCCAGGTTGGGGCACACGAGATCTTCAAAATCAGTCAGGGAAAGGGAACCTTCTGTTTCCAGCGATGTGTCAGGCGCCAGTACCCATGCTCCGGATGCCTGGAGGGTCGAGGCCTTAATGCCGGCCGGTCGATTGGTTTCAGGCACTCTTTGAGCTCTTTCAGAGGTCTGGCGAGTCAGCAGACACTACCGACATAAAGGAGGCAGCGCAGCAGTTGGTGCTGGGACTGTCATCAATTTCCGATTCGTCGAGTAGCACTGCGACAAGACAGCTGAAGTCTAGCTTGCGGAAGTATGGAGTTACCATGAGTTGCCCGGGCTTGCAGTCGGAGTCGACGCCTTGTCGAAGCGATGCTACACCAGGATCTGGGCATGTAAGGTCCTCAGCGGATCACCTGATCTGGCCAGTAAGCATGAGCATTGGCGTGGGTGTTCGGTTTCTCACAGGCTTCGCCTGCCCCCGTCGAACGACAAGACGGCAGCGAAGGCACCAATCCGTGTTTGGGATCCGTCTTGAGTCTTCGGAGGTGTTTGAAGGGGTTTCTCGGTGGGTGCGTGCAAGCGTGTGTCGCTTCGCTGAAGAAGTTGAAGAAGGACGTGTCGGTGCTGCATTACCCATCAAGCCTCCGGTGCTGTCGGAGGCTTACGTAGCCTAACGCTTTGACGAAGCCTTCTGCCCACTCGACTGCCCGGTGGCCCCAAATCCACGCATCTTCAACCGACGCCGACCTCAAGCCATCCCTTTGGCCTGCCTCACTGCGGGAGCTACTCCTTGGGCGAAATCATAGTTGCGACGGCAACCAAGCTCCGGAACCGCTTTGCGCTGATTTGCACGTATGCGTGGCCGCGTGGGCAATTGTGCAAAGAGATCCCGGGGCTGAAGAATATGTTGCGCCGCAAGAAAGCGCAATGCTATCCGTCTGAGACTGAAGGAACCTTCACTGTTGATCACTGTTCAAGGCTTGCCGCCTGCCTCCGAATGCTCCCCCCAACCCGACGTCTAGGAGAAGCGTGGAGAAGCATCGAGTATCTTGCTTACCCAGTTGACTAGATCCCATGCCGGGGCCGGAACTTGGGGATGCAAGCTTCCTCCAAGCCATCATCTAGGGCAAAGCGGGTCTTGCAGGACCACTTCGTCACGTGACATCACTTTCTGCATTCGAGCAGATAGCAGACAAAGCGGAGCGGCTGCGGCTCAGGCAGGAGATGGAGGACAGGGTGTCCAGAGCAAAGCTAACATTCGATCCCTGTTGTGTGTGTCATGTCGTGGGCGTGTGGAAGAACATTGAACCAGGAGCGCGTGACAGACCGCCCGGCGCGCTACGGAGACAGAGCCTCGGATCTGCTTCGGCTTCGCCTGGTGTGAGAGATAGGTTATGCAGAGACCCTTTTTCTCTGAGGCGCGACACCTCGCAACACCGGTCGTCGTTGTGTCGTCCGAGATGAACCCCTGGTCGAAAACAGGCCTCAGCAGCCGGCGCATCGGTGATTCTCGGGGCTTGCAGGTTCTCCCGTCACTTTCGAAGCTGACCGGAGGCGGCCTTGCCATGGTGGTGGAAAGCTATGCATACGAGTTTGCGATGCGAGGACGGGTGCCGGCGTATGCTTCTAAAAACGTAAAACAGAGACACACCTAGTTCTGCATTTCAGGCCATCGGACAATGGCGGTGACACCACGTTACGGCAACTACACCAACTGCAAGCCGGTCGGCTCCACCAAGGCACTGACACGGTGCATCCTGTGGGGTCTGCAGAGACCTTGAAGATCCTTGAAGCAGGTTTGGCTGGCTGGACAAGAGCATGAAGTGGTTTTCTACCATCAGCGGCAGGCGTTGGAGGGGGGGGGCGCGGCGCTGTAAGTGATTTGCTAGGGAGCAAGATGCAAGACTGATACTTCCGAATTCTTGCGTGTTGGAAGGATTTTGGCAATGGCCGCGGCTGCGACTATGTCTTCGTAGACCACAGCTGTCACGTTCTGAGATCTTTGGTGCTCCCAGACGTTAGCAGATGTGCAGTGCTTACTACTCAGGCTTCCATCGTCCACAAGGTCTCTATGGAGATCCTGCCAGTGGCGAGTATCCGGACAGGGATAGATGTGGGCACAGTCGATGGAACCACATCTGCTTGAGTTGCCTTCCCACCCTCATCACGAGGACAATACCTTCCGATTCTCCTTGCTATGTCTTGCTGCCACAGAAGCTCCATTGGTCGGCATCTGAGATGCAAGACAGGTGCAGTGCAGCTGCAGAGGCTGTCTGAGGCAGTCTCATGAGACTACTATGTAGCCGTGAGGCACTGGTCCCCAATAGCCAGCAGGCTTTGGGGCTGTTCTCGAAAGCGCCCGCGTTCCAGGTTGTGTCTCCCTCCGGCTGATTTTGGTTCCCACGGTGTCCTGGGGTCCTTGTGTTTCGGTGTCCTGCCCACCGCGTCTCGATTTTCGTGTCTGTCATCGTGCGGCCGGTGTGGTGTTTCTCTGTTCCCTCGTTGTTCGGGTTACCCAGTTTCTATTTTTGCCTTGGCGTCTCTGGGAGAGTTCCGTTCGTCGGTGCCTCTCTTTGTGTTTCGGTATCCGGGTCGGGCTTTGCATCCTCCTCGAGGGCTAGTTGGCGAGGTGTGACTCCACAATTGAGCCACAGAGGCATGACTTTTTTCCTGCTTCAAGCTATGATTACTCGCCTGTCACGAGGCAGCTTCGCCGATGAGCCAGACATGCAAACGGTCAATGTTCCTACGAGATGTACAGATGTACCACTGCAGGCGCTTTCGGCGTCGGCTAAATCGACCTTGCACAAACCCGACAGATCCTGATTGAGTCTCCCTCCGCTGGTCACGTGGTTAACCATTGCCTGCATGTTTCGACGTCTCGGTCCTTGATCGTGCCGGTGTCCCGGTGCCCTCCCGTTGTGCGGGTGTTCAGGTGTTCCAGCGTCATTGTTGCCCCTGTGCTGGCTCGTTCCAGACGTGTTGGTTCGGTTCGCGTTGAGAATGTTCTTCTTGCAGGCTGGGTTTTGAGGCGGACAGAAATTAATGGCCGGTGTTTGTTGCCAGACTCCGCTAGATGTATCAGCTCAATAACATCTACTTGTAGCAGAGCCCGGCAATAGTTCACCTGACGCTGGCCGAGGTCTTGAACCTGGGTGGCTCCCTTTTCGGTCAAGAGGTCCATGAAGAATGGACGCGCAACAGAAAACTTCTCGTCCTCCGAACCTGGCATGTCGTGCTGGCGACATTCATATGAAGGTCTGCTTCATTGCCAATGATTGGCAGACTGGCATGCTCCCTGTCGGGGACTCTGGGGGTCCGGACGGTGTTGAAGCAGGAGGTCTTTGTGTGACTGCAGGCTTATCTCTTCTACAAGTACAAACGGAATGGCACCTACCTCAAGGCCTTCGGTGAACTGCACGAGAACAGCAGCTTATTCCAACACGATTCAACAGGCTCGATGTCTCATGGTGCTACACAACATGGGGTATCAAGGCCTCTTGGAGTCTGTTGACAATAGTACAGCCACTGCTCCACGCTGGGAGCAGTCGAGTTGGCTTCGGCACGGCACTTTTGGTGCTGTGCTGAGGAAAATATCGGATGAGCCAGCACCCGATGGACAGGCAGCCAGAGTTTCAGAATGCTGCATAGTAGCGAACGCAAAACTTGCGCTGCTCCTGCTGCAGGTTCTTCGGGCTTCCTTCCGATGCCAGCAAGGTGTGTCAGCGGAGGGTCCTTCACGCGTAGCATTGCTGAGAGTTCGCTTTATGTGAACTTGTGAACGTGTCTACCACACGGCATGAGAGCATTTCTTGACGCGTTGGAGGACCTGGAAGGTGAAGACCTTCACTTTGGCACGGACCAGTGGTCTTTGTCGGGTGTACGCTTCTGGGGAAGTGAGCAGCAGGGACATCAACTTGTGTAGCAGAATGAACGACTGTGACAGGGGTTTCAGCAACCACCCTTGCAAGCCAGACCGTTTTCATCAGCAGCCTCGCCATTTCCGGCAGAACGACAAAGTGTGTGACCGGTGAAGGACTGTGTGAACCTTTTGGGTGCCGGCATCCGGATGGCGGATCGTGTCGTGTCGGCTCCTCGAAGCCGGTCACGAGACTCGACACCGTGATGAGATGTGGTAGGCACCTGGTAGTCGGCAGCTCCTCAGGACGGTCTCACCCAACTATGCCTTTGAGATCCAGACACCAGAAGGCTTCTGAACGCTGTCCTTGCCATGTTTCCCTGTCTGTCTTGTGATTATTGGCAGTCTAAAAGGTTGGACGTTGTGGCTAGAGACTCCGGATGTGTTGAATCTGTGCTGCATTGTGAAGAAGTTGCTTAGTAGGTCGTCAACTCGTCAACTCAATGAGTGTAAGACCGTCCAGTCATAGTTTGCTGTTGAAATAAAATTCGTCGTTTTATCGTCAGCAGTTCGGTGAGTTAGCTCGCGCTTTCTGACTGCCTGCCTGCTATATGTCTATGTCGGTCGGTCTCGTTCCGTAGCCGTCTCTCTCTCCCTCGCTCTTTCTCTTTTGGTTTTCTCTTTCTGCTCTCTTTTCTTTTCTCTCTCATTGACTTAACTCTGGCGCAGCCTTTGCATCTCGGCCAATGACACAGTTCCGAACTCTAGGACTCTAGGCTACCTTCTGACAAAACAGAGAGTGGAGGGTGTAGGGACTCGAAACTATGCAGACGCTTTCAGAAATAAACACATCAGATGAGGTATCAGCTTGTTTAAGCTCCCACCTGCCTTCGAATTCCTGGTTTGTCCCATGGCTTACACATCGTCATGCACTTGGTGGCTATACCGTGCGCTGCCGCTTCTTTTGTTGGTTGCCACTTTGTTGTCTGCCACGGTGTTTCCGTACATTGAATATCTTGCCGGTGGTTCGCCCATGCAATGCGTGCAAGGAGGACACCGAAATCACAGTGAATTTCCCTGTCAACGACCTATTGGGCATGCCACTGTGGAGCAGACGTGGTGGTTGCCATGGGCAGCAGATCGGGTCAACGGTGTGATCTCCAGCAAAGGACCGCTGCTTCCGTACCTTCTCCTCGTCACCCAGATCTGCACTGGAACAGTGGCAAAAACAGTGGCAGACAGGGGTACATGGTGCCGAAGTTCTTCGTGGCTCTTTCTCGCACTCGCTTTTTGGTTGTCCATGACGGGGTTGCGCATTGTCATATTCATCTGCGTACATCCATACAACTATTATTTCTCTGACCACATTTTTCTGCTGAGCAGCATGGTGGCACAGATTCAGATGTCCTTGGCAATGACATTGCAGAGACAGGAATCGAATGCAGGCTCCCATGCAGAATGTTGGTTTTCTGTGGAATGTCTATTGGCATCAGTGATGCTGGTCTTCATACTTTTCGAGGCATTCATTACAAGTTGGTTGTATCACACACTTCTCGCCAGTTGGCTAGCCTTGCTTGTTTCATTGATTACTTTTCAGCCGATGACATACAGTTGGGTGCTTACCCTGCAGAAGGCAACTGTTCCGAAAACCGAGAGTTCCAGGAAGTTGATGGACGACGAGTGCCAACATGGAGGCTCAAAGGCTTGAGGGTCCCCACGGGTTTCACCACGTCACTGCTCAAAATGCGGACGCAAAAAGGGTCGAAGGCCCGAGGATCCCAAGTTGCTGGGCCCCAAGTTGCTCAGAGCACCGTCGCAGCGTCGCTTGGCAGGCGGGCTGGGACTTCACGCGGCGCTCAAAGCAAAGGCCTCTATGCGCAGAGCCGGGCACACAGGCGCATTGCTCTCGTCACCCCAACAATTCTTGGTGGCGGCGGAGATTCTTCATCCAGTGCGGGGGGCGAGGGCTTCGTGTTGTCAGCAAGGTCAAGGGTATTCTAAACGGCATCTCCGACGAGCCGAGGGCTCAGCTGCACTGCTTGGATGGAAAGCATTCCGTTGTGGTGATCCCTTCAGGTGGAATCCCATGACTGACCCCCACATAGCAGTCCGTCCGGACCTCGGCAGAGAGGGACACGGAACGACATTTCTGGAAGGGGAGGCCAGGGTGAGGCCAGGGTTAGGCCAGGCAGTAGCTCCGAGCTCCCGCTTTAGACTCAGGATACGGTGCCAGCAATTTCGAAGACGGCAAGTTGCGTTGCAAGGCACCCGTGCGGCACATCTGAAGCAGCTGTTGTTGCTTCCCTATGACATCAGAATCTCTTTTTTCTGAAGGTCATTTCGAGTCATGACATGCACGCAGCCAGTGTAAGAGTTAACAGTTCTAGCAAAGAAAGCAACGTGGAAGAACCTGGTCCAAATTCGCCAGGCGGAGCTCCAGCGGCAACTGGGCCTGCAGCAGGCCGGCACCGTCTCGACAAACTCATCACACGAGAAAACTCACATCGAAGCTAAACGGGCAGTGTTTTTTCGACGTTTTTCATGCAGTCTCGGTTCTGGAGCCAGGGCCTTAAACTGTAGAAGCATGAGGCCGGCGAGGCCTAGAAAGCACAGGCAAGGCGATAATTGCGGCAACAGGACACAGCCTGTGTTCTGGACGTGTACATAAAAAACTGAGAATCTTGCGCTTTGGAGCTTCGTTTTCTTCAAGCAAAAGAGGTGTTGCGCTCATTCTGCTCTCGCACTCAAGCTTGCTGCGTTTTCATGTTGTCGGGATGTTGTCGGGAAGCTTCCGTAAGCGGAGAAGCTAGGAAAAGAAACAAAGGCTCCGCGGTCATATAGGCGGTGTTGCAGCGAAACCGAGGACCATAGAGCAACAGCTCAAAGAATTCGTTTCACAATCCGTCCAAGCAAACACCACATGCGATGAGCTCATACAAGAAGCTTCATCAGTCATGCTACTTGGTGCCCCTGTTTTCCTGGAAATGCTGCAAGATGGACAGATCTGTTTTGATTATGACTGTGGGTGGCAGGGCATGATGGGCGAATAGGGGATGTGGTGGGAAATGTGTTGGATGTACATACAGAGCTCCACGACAGCAGTGTGACTGTTTTTCTTCGTGTCGTCATGGGGTCCCTCTTTTCTCGGGTGTGGCGTCGGCCCTCGACGTACGCAGGTAAGTTGCTCGGCAATCGCGGGTCTCCCGAGATGAATGCAGTCGAAAATAAAAAGTTCTGCAGGCGTTCTGCAGCCCACCCACTCAGAACCCATGGACCATCGGGCTATCGTCCATGCGAAGGGAAGTGCGGTTCTTTGACGCGATGATGCTCGCTGGTTCTGCCTCGTGGTTCGCGGGCCTCAGCGTGGCAGGAAACTCCAGAGAGAATCTGCGGCCATCACAGCTGCCGAAAATTAATTCTCACTGACATGAACCGAAGATCTCGGTGATCATTTGGCGCAACGACGATGTGCACTTCACCTCTGAGTCGCCGATGTTTGCGAGGCAAATGCCTCGAAGGAGGTCGAGGCCTACCCCCCTTCCGCGAACCTCATCCACTCAACTTTCTAGCAGAAAGGTCTCCTTCCTGGTCCAGTCCCCGCGGCCGATACTGAAAGGGTGTTCACCGGCGCAACCTTGAGCAGCTGCTAGTGGCTTTGACGCAGGCGAAGAATGTCAAGGATAGAACGTGAGCTTCTGCGAGCCCGAGCTCCATCTAAAGCCGCGTGCACAGGCGGGAGGGACGACACCTGACTCCAGGCACACGCGAAGTATCCAGCCGTCCGTCCAACCAGTCCAGCCAAGGCTGAGTCTGATCGGTGTATGTTTCAGCTGCGAAAAGGTCATGGTCATGGCATCCTTGTCCCATATTTTGTCGAAACTCCTTCACTCGCTCCTTGAGCTCACAGGCATGTGAGTGCAAAACTAACTCTCTGAGGCTGGGTTTGTTTTTTGCAAAAAGAGGATTGTCTCCAGCTTGCAAGGTTAGTTTTGGATCGAGAGATGAACTCCGTAGGACCGGGTTTGTTTCCGGGAGGAGTGAGTAGCTGTGACTAGCTTTCTCACGCAAGCTTAGTTGCCGAGCAGGAAACGCACTCCGTAGGACCGGGTTGGTTTCCGGACAAGAATGAACTGTCTCCCGCAAGGGTACGTTCGGAACGAGAAGCTACCTCAGTTTGTCAGAACGGGAGGTGTTCCTAGGTTCGGAGAGAGAAATGAGCTCCGTAGGACCGGGTTCGTTTCCCGGAATGCTAAGGCGAAGACGTGGGCAGATTCTTGATTCGTGCGCAGTTTCTTCTATGTTTACGCTTGTTGCAATGATGTTTATATGAGCCCTGTTTGATTTCAGTTTCACAACCTCTGCCTTGCTCGCAAAGCGAAGTCATGTGCAGCTTTGCACACAAAAACTAAGCACCTCGAAATGTTGAAACTCAAAGTCTCTCGTTTTCTCATTGTGCTGAGGCTCAACACGTTCATCTCGAAGTACCATGCTTTCGAATGTGCGGCACACAAGCACGTCGAACAACTGACGTCTCAAGTCTCCTTTCGAATCATTCACCCTCCAGCCCCCCGCCTTGCTCATAAAGCGCAAACATGTTCCCAACTGCCGATCCTTTGGACAGAGGAGCCTCTCGTGTAGACTGGGCCACGCCAGTGCGCCATGAGTACTGGTAGAGCTGTCGTTGTTGTTTTGAAGAGCGGGGTCATATTTGTACAAGCTTGATCAAGGTTTAATATTTCACTTTCACAACCCCTACTTTGCCCCAAAACGCGAAGACATGTGCAGCTTCTCGCATTGTTTAGAGATTCATTCCTCCCACCTTGCGTGCAAAGCGCATGCACACAGTCCTTTTTGGTAAGCTTTCGGTTCCGGGATTGATGGTTTTGCGAGTTCCGCCTTCCGTCCACAAAGCGAAGGCATGTGCAGCCTAGGCTTCGTTTCGACTACGAGAAACAGAGGAATTTCTGGTGTAGGAAAAACAGATCCTCTCCTCGGTCAGAGTTGGGTTCGTTGGAGGAAGCAACCCGCTTCTAGCTTACCTCTGCGCTGCTCTGCTCTCTTGAAAGATGGCGATCATGATGCAAGCCGCGGTATCATAATGCTCTCATTTGAAGAAGAAGTTGGAGTCCAAGGTAACAATTCGTCACTGCGGCTGGCATTTGCATCAGCAAGCTTGTTCAGTGTCACTCGGACAAGCTGTGGGTTCCCAGCTCAAGCGTGGAACGGTGCCTCCGTGTTGGATGTGGAATGTGCACCGGTTCAGGCTGTGCATTTCCTTCACAACAAAGGTTCGAATTCGTTTAAAAGAGCAAGATGCGAGAGGATGCGACAATGCAACCAGAACCTCATCACTATGATATGCAAGTTAGGACGAGAAATATATGCTCGAATCGAAAGATGGGTCGTACATTAGTGGAAGACTTATCGGCAAATTCTTGATTCATGGCCAGGCTGTGGCGATACGGCGAATTTGAAGGGTGCCTGCGGTTCACAACCGGACCCAGGATGTTTCTTCAGAATGACTCAGCTCTTCTGGACATTGGCTCCTTCAGCTTCGGGTAAACGTGTACGTCGATGGTGTCTACACAGATGACGATTCGGCGCGTCGCGGGCAGATGGCGACAACAGCTGATGCAGGTTCATGTGCGGAGGTTAAGCCATGAAGCAGCATCCACTATGCAGTTTGTTTCACTTTGTTTCGGGCCTGAGCACTAACACGCCATCTCTATTTCAAGCGACATGAACCGCCCGTGACGCTTGCAGTTCGTCGGCCTGCGAGGATGCTGCCGCTGCTGCTGCTAAACGGGGCGTCTCTCATGAGTTGTTCCTGAGCACGTTTTATCGCTTTAATTGACTGCTGGTTTCCTTCGCGAGTGCAATCATGCTGGCATGTGGGGTGTCCTGGTTTGCCATGAGACACAACGTGAGACAACGATAGATGAGATGGTATAATACGGGGGGTTCTTGTAGATTATTCTGGGATGCCCCTTGTGTGGTTTAGCCTGTAAAACGATAAGAATTCAAATAAAACGATAACACTTGAATGCATATTGCACGAGTACTATGACTTGTCCTATTATGATTACCGGTGCTAGTATTAAGTAGTATTACTGGTACTACGATTATTCCAATTAGTTCTACTTGCACTTCTACCGCTACAACTACTGCTTCCGCCACTGCTACGGTCTACGGCTGTTTGCTGCTACTCCTACTGCTCTCGCTACTGCTATTGCTATCTGCAAACTGAGACTTTAGAGGCTGCACTTGTAGAAACTGGGGCTCGCTGAGGCTGCACTTGTGCAAACTGAGGCTTGAGAGACTACACTTGCTTGTGCAGGCTGCAATTTTGCAAACTGAAGGTTTGAGAATTGCTACATGAAACTTCTGAAATCCAAGGCAAGTTGAGTGTCCAAGACGATAACAAAAAGGAGAAACTAGGTTTGACAGAGGTGCCTTTTCAAGGACATGAGCCATCCAGTACATGTGCCATCTTGTGCCAGCGAGTTGAGGTGTTGGCAACCTGCTCCTAAAACCTATGGATGTTTAGGCAAGCCACCACGAGCCAAGCCTGTCCCCCGTGCCTAGTACTTGTCATCAGTGATTATCTTCATACCTTATAAATCGATAAGGAGTAAAATAACGATAACGCAGTTCGGGCGTAAGGGATCCATCGCGGGGTTTTTATACAACCACAGATGATTTTCACACATCTAATCTAGGCTGTTCGTCGAAAATCAGTCTTGGTTCTATTGCGTTCTATTGCTAAAGAAGAAAGAGGTAGGTAACAACTCCTGTGCGGCCCGCGGTCATATCCCAGATGACTTGTCGTGAAACATGCTGTATGGCGTATAAACATTCGTCGAGGATTTTGTTGGGAGCACTCATACACTTTCTGCCAAGGTATTCTGCAACTTGTCAAAGCGTTTTCGCAGATTGCCACACGGCTTTTTGCAACCAACTCCAAAAGTTGCCTTGGTTTGTATGTGAAATCGACAGGATTCTCTCTGTTCGGCTTGAGCACTTGAGCACAGAAAACGAAGCATGCTCCCTTCAGTGCACAATGTCAGTAAACTTCATTCTTCATGGAGGCGGTGTTTGTGAACACAATTGGTTTTGGGCCTGAAGAAGCCGCGTGTTATCTGCTTTTTGTCCTCATCGTGATCCTGCTAGAATCTGAACGGAATGACTGACAAATAATGAGATTGCCCTCGACAGGTTGTTGTGTGCGCAGGATGTTCACCGTGTGCTCTTTGAAGAAGCTGCTGCGAACGGCGTGGGTCCTCTATGATCCGTGTCCTGCTGCAGCTCCATCTGAGTTTGCGGTCCTTGTCGTCGTGCTGCGTGGTGCTTCCTCTCGGAGTCTTTGATGACTTGCCGTTCTGTGTTCGACGTAGTTTTCCCTTCTGCTCCATTGTCTTTCTGGCACCCTCGATTCACCATGATTCCCGGCTCCACCCGAGAGTTCTGATGCTGCGCACAGGATCCCAAGCTGTGCCTCATTGGCTTCTGCGGACGCCTTTGCTACCAGAAGGGGATCCACCTCATCATGGACAGCGGAGTTTAACGTCGTTTGTGCGAACAAGCAAGAGGTTCGTTATATGCTGTGCTTCTCCAGTCCGCACTCTACCCGGAGGAGTGCCTCCCGTGGCTGATGCGCGATGAGGCGGAAAGCATTCTGCGACCATCTCTCGCTTGCACTTGGCAAATCCGCCAGCGTTTCTTGTCAGGGCAATGGGGTCAACGGCTTCGTTCAGCTTGCGTGGGATGCCAAGGAGACAGCAGGACTCGACTCGCATTGTTGGCCTACCCATGGCAGTGTGAAGTTTCCGGATGGAGATATGGTGGCAGCGGAAAAACCTTCAGCCTACAGATACTGATGTGCACTCGCTCGAGGCTAAACCAGGCAATTCACTGCTGAATCAGAGATGAGTGGAACGTACCTGCTCTGAAGGTTGATGGGCAAAGGTGATCCCAAATACGAAGATCAGCTCCGGTCCATGGAGGTTTGCGGTGTTGATCTCGAGCAGTGGCCGCAAACGTTGCAATCCCATGAGCTGTAGTGGCAGCAGCAAGCCTACCATGGTGTTTGTCTCGCAGGCTTCGCATCGTGGACGCGTTTGCGCATTTGTCCAGGGCTCAGCCGATTGACTTGTGTCACGAAAATTCCCAGCTCAGCCTTGTGTGGGCAGAGCTTTCAGAATGTGCAGAGCCTTCAGAGCGTCGTTGCTTCGGTGCAGGCTCATCGGTCCTTTTTCAGGAACATGGAACCAAGCGAGCAAGATAATCGAATTAAGCCACAACCGATTGGTTCATGTTGCCGCTAGAAATCGTAAGTGTTCTGAAGTCAACGCTCATTATGTATCCCATGAGTGGAGAGCCTCTCGCCATGTAGGGACCCTGGCGTCACGTCCTGATCATGCTGCCCTTGAAACCATGCTTGATTTGCCTATCCAGGTTGGTTTTGACCCCGTTGTGGAACACCGCATGATGGCCGGATGCGACGTCTTATTGATGCCCTCCCAGTGCCGCATCGAACGATGCGAGGTTGTGTGGGTGCATCAATGCAAGTTGGTTGCTACATGACATGTTCGAGCACGGGGCCATGTACTTGCAGTGAGTCATAATTTAGAGTCATAATGCTTTGCATAACTTCGCAGTCGAACTCCCCCCATCAGAAGCTTGCCAGGTACGAGCCATGCGGCCTCCCGCAGATGTATGCACAGCAGCATCTTTGCTCAAGAAGCGGCCCTCTGACTGAACACACCGGGTGTTGACAGACGTGTCTCAGGTATGCAACGATCCCTGTTGTGCACGAGACTGGAGGTCTGAAGGACGGTCGCAAATCGCAGGCTGTCATGAACTTTTGCTATTTGCCTGAGATTTCAGGACTCCGTCCGTGGCCTGTGGAACGTGGAGCACGACAGACACTGTGTTGGTGTCCTGGGAACTTGCATGTGGCAGCACACGGTCGGATAGAAGCTGGCTCCAATCTCAAAGTAGCCATAGGGCCATAAATTTGACGTTTCGGATAGCTTCTTCCTCACGCAATCTTTAGGCTACTGGCTTCCTTTTCGGTGGCTTCGATGCCAATCGCCTCAAAGAGCGACTTTATCAGGCGGGGCATCTAGGCGAGCTCCCGACCGGTGAAGTTTGCTTGCACTCTCTCCCTGTCGTCTTTTTTTTCAGAGGCCTTCTTTAAGAGGGCCAAGCCCCTTTCCTCGCTCCCGAGTTTAGGCAAAGCTCCATTTAGTAGCTTGACAGTGTCAGCGGTGTGCCTGAACTTGAAAGTATAGATAGGATCAAGGGAATGCCGGATAGCTGTGCAAGCGAAGATACAGCACTCACGACCCTTTGATACGTAGAGATTAAGAAAGGTCGATTTGCGTCGTAGTTACACATGTTAGATTTTGCTTACTGGCATTAACACATGAGAAGGTGGGTTTGAACACATGAAGGAGGCGTGCCAGAAGGACTACACTACTGCATGAAATCTTCGCACCCCCGCTTCACCCCCCAATTGTGTCCTCGTGTCTCGGGGGCTGTGTGAACTGCAAGCAACATCTTCCGGCGGTATGGCGGGAATCGCGGCATGATGCGGAGGTTTTGGAGAACTGCAGGACCGATGGGAGATGAAGCGAAGCCTGAGCATGGCCAAGATTTGGGGCAGTGGCACTGAGAATGATGTGCACGGGGAGGTGTCAGACCAGTTGACCAGTCAGGAGCTCGCGGTGCGTCTCAGATGCAATGCGTCGACTGAGCGCTGTATCAGAGCAAGCTTTTCAGGACATCAATTGTGTCTGATTCTGCTTCAGTCCTTCATCAAGCAAGTCAAAACCTCCTCAGGCAACTCTTGCACCTGTTACGGAATGATTTTCTTTGCTTTGCCGGCGATGACCTGGAATGCGAGCGGGGCATCAGCTTCCGGGCTGCCACAACTGACTGGGGGAGCTTGTCAATACCCCATCTTGTTTCTTGTCTCTCGCTCAAACACCCGAAGATTGTGTGCAATCTCCCGTGGAGGCGGCCGAAGCCAAACCATATTGTGTGTGTGTGCGCGCGCAACAGACCCGTAACAAAGGGCTCAGTTCTGTTGTATCCTGTCAGCTTTGCAAGGGGCTGGAGCATTCATGGTAGTTCTCCTGCCAATGCAGACGTAACAGCATGATCTGAGTGTCTGCGTATGCAGCTGGCGTGCACTCGTTTCCTATTCTTCAAACAGGGAGTGCTTGAGCGCTTCTTGGTTCCCTTGAAGAGTTAGACTCCACATTACATCCCTCGCGTGAGTTGGACTTTGGAGGGCCGGCGAAGGGTTGGCAGTGTAGTTATTGCAAACGCATGGGGGAAACATTCTTGGAGTCGCTTGGCTAGGGGGTGTGCAAATTCTGATTGTCCTGAGTGGGACATCTTCGCCGAGCTTTCTGTCAAAAACATCGCACCTTGGTGCACAGCTTTTCCCAACATGTTCATTGCGATCGCACAGAAATGGCATGGGGCTGACCCAGCCCCTAAGCCCCACACTCTTGAAGGCCTTCAGCCTCTCAATCCCTGAGCCTGGTCAATGGAGCACCAATCCACACATTAATGTGGGCTGACTCTGTCGGAGGCGATGGACATCTTTCGGCATCAGAGACCGCTGTGGCGGCAGATGCAGACCAATGCCATCAAAAGCACCTTGGATGTCTTTCTGGCAGTGGCTGTTTGAGAAAGACCCTCTGGGAAGAACCTGGAGTTCGCAGTGCTCGCAGTATGCCTTCATGTCGCTCATGCTGCATTGCATGCTTATATCAGCAAGGCGATTTCTACTGGCCACAAGCCATCGATGAATATGTGTCTTGGCGACACCTTCTGTCAGGAGTGCTGTCTGACTCATGCGCGAATTCGGATGGAATGATGGCCTGGTCCTGGCTTAGGAAAAGAACATCGATCAGGTTATGGAGGCTCCCGGAATGGCATAGCAGATCAGCGGCTTCGAGAGACAGGTCGACGTGTGCTCTGTGCTTGCCAGGAGGAGGCTTGCTGTCGCTGACTGTGTGGAGCATCCGCCATCTGCGGCCTGCCGTCGTGTCGTGTGTAGCAAGCTAGGAAGTGTTGGGGAGCACGTGTGGTGGCATAGTATTTAAACCTAAGCCGCCTGCCCTGGCGAAGAATCCCATGAGCGCTGCTGTCTGATTTGAGCAATGTGCCGGTAAAGTCTGCCTCTGGGATTCAGCCGGCGTCCGCACTTTGAGCTGCATGGCCCTGGCGACGAACACTGCCTTCAAACTCGAGAAGCAACAATGCGGGGGAGCCCTTTAAGACCAGGTCATAGGCTGCTGGAGAGAAACTGTCTAATTAGCAAACCGTGCAGGGTTGTGCGATTATGGCATGAAGGCGATAATCTGTCTTGCAAGGCAGTGTTCGGAGAGGTCGAAGGTGCCAACGAGTTCTCCCTTGGATTCATCAGCATTGGGTCCTGGAATGCTTGGTTTAAGTTTCTCCATCTGCAGCTTCTTGCGACTTCCGCAAGCCTAGAGATGTTGATAGGCTCGTAGGTGCGATTTTGAGAGCCCAATGTTGTGCTTCCCCTCTGCAATGATTTAATCGTCAATTAGCCTATGCCCAGCCTTAATGGCTGAAGGGCACACGTTTCGCGTAAGCTTTCAGTGGCAGTGAACGATCCATGCTCGTGACTTGTGACTGTTTTTGCCAAACATCCGACCGTACAGTACATAGTCTTAGCTTGGCGAAGATGCACGTAAATCCCGTCAGTGATGAAGTCGGAGCATGAGATCTTGCCCAATGACCTCAAGACACCTGGAACACGGCTTTGTGCGGGTGTCAGAGGGCGGAGTTGAATCGGGTCCGATGGTTGCACTATGTTGCACTACGCTACATGGAGGGCCAAGTCGCGCCCCGTTCATTGTGATCTTGATCTTGATGCTCTGTTCCAAGAGTCGTCTCACTGACCCCCTAGCACTGACAGGTGGCAAGGCCCCTGTTGCAGGCCGGGGGCAACAACAGCTATCTTCCCCCGCTAGACACTGTCAGCCGCGTGTATAGCAAGGTCAACAGACCTGTCAAAAGATTGACAGCAGCGTGGGCATCATGAGCCCGCCAAGCTTTCTGCCCGGCATCGCATTTTCCCTTCGCGCCGGGAAGATTTTCGGAGGACGCAGCTTTGTGGGGCTTGAACTGGAGGTTTCCCACACATCGTGCATTGGCGGGGGACCGCTGAAGTGGTGACAGGATGGATGGTTGCCAGGCTTTCCGGCCAAAGGGTCTTGTATTCTGTGAAAATGCGGGCGCGCAGAGCCACCAAGAGGAATCTAATTTACTGCTAGCTCACATCCACGGGCGCCGCCAGAAAGCAGCAGCCAGGTGCAAGCTGGCCCGGTCGGCAAAAGGCGCCGGTGAGGGGCAGGCGATCTGTGATGTGCCATTGCTAGGATTGATTGTGGCCGCCTTGCATCAGCCAAACAGATGTACCCACGGACGCATGCACGGACGCGTGGTGACTGAGCAGCTTTTTCTTGCCTGCAACGCCGGGAAAGGCACTGCAAGACATTCTTGACCTTGGACTTTCAGCTTCAGAGGTGCGGCTGGAGCTGCACCGTGTTCTGGTACGGGTTGAGGAAGTTGAGGTCCTTTTGCTGTTACGAAGTTGATATCTTGCAAGGGTTTGGTCTGGATTTGGTGGAGCACGGTCAGGACAGTCTTACATAAAACAGCAAATCATCAGCTCTGTTTCGTTTGTGAGGGAATTATGCCCATGGTGTGTTGGGAGTTGTAACGAGACACGGAGTCAATGTGAGAATTACGTTCCGCGAAGGAAGACGCGGCGGGGCCGTGTGGTCTCGCTTTTGTAGACCTGTTCCTCGCAGGATTGTCGATTTCCTTCTGGAGGTGCATTTTTTTTGGGAATTCTTTTTTTCTTTTTTGGGTATTCTTTTTTTTTTTTTAGGGTTTGGGGCTTGGTTCTGTA